TTAATGAATGCATTTTAAAAGCCAGTTTTATATAATTAAGTAACTTATTACCTCATTGTGAAGTATTTCTCTAATGGACATTATCATACTAATGCTGATTTGTTACTATGAAACCATCAAATTCTGCTTAATGAATTTTTTTCAAATCCTCATTTATTTAGCCATAATTCTATTAAAACAAGAGAACATCCTTCAGTTAGGTGTCAGAATTATTCCCATAGAAATACTTCAGCTGGGCTCGGTGGCTCAGCCTGTAATCCGCGCCTTTGGGAGGCTGAGGTGAGTGGATTGCCTGAGCCCGCGGGTTCGAGACCCGCCTAGGCAGCGAGACCTCATCTCTACAATAAATCAAAAAATCAACTGGGTGTGGTAGCGCACACTTGTAGTTCCGGCTACTTGGAAGGCTGAGGTGGAAGGATCGCCGGAGCCCAGCAGGTCGAGGCTGCGGTGGACGGGAGTGGCCACTGCACTCCAGTCTGGGCGAGAGTGAGATTCCAACTCAAAAAAAAAAAATAAGGAAATGATTCAAACATTCTTAAACTTTACTATTATGTAACATTTAAAACAACAGAAAAGTAAATATGAAGAGAATAGTATTTATTTCCTTAAAAACAGCTCTTCTAAAAGAAGTAATATTTTGCCTCTTTTAAAATAAAGTCTCCCTTTCAACATGCTGTCTTGAAAAATAATGCCAAAAAGTGTGTTATATATAAGCAAATTAAGAGACTTAACAGTATAGTAGAACATCAATTTTAATGCTTCTCTAAATTTAGAAAACTAAGATCCAACTTACATTTGCTTTTAATGATGCCAACAATATCCCTACCATCCAGGCTCAAAATCTGGGCATCATTCTCTCTTTCCAACATACAGTCACAAATCAGGACTTAGGGGTGAAGTGACATTTGAGATGGGGGCGAAAAATACACCAAGAGAAAGGAATAATATAAACAGACAGAAGAGAACATATAAGACAATTTCAAATCACTGGTTGAAGAGTATAGTATCTAGGGGTCCAGAAGAAAATTAAACAATTTTCTAAATAACCAATACTTAAAGGTTTTCAAAATTTCAGGTAAGCGGACCTCTACCTTAGTTGAAAGCCTCATTATTTCTTACTTGAAACAGTTAAGAATAGCTTAACTTGACTCTCTACTTTGGTTTTCCCCTTCTAAACTACCATTCATATAACCATTAGATTAATTTTAACAAAAAATAATGACCCCAAACGCTTTTTTAAATGTTAAAATTCTTCAATGGCTGCCCACTTTTCACAAAATCATGCCTAGACTCCTTATTATGGCATTCAAAGTCCTTCACAACCCTATCTCTTCTAGCCTGTTCCCTAAAACCCTCTCTCATAGATGCTAAAGTCCAGTCATAAAAAAATTAAATATTGTCGCTTTTGTACATTTTATACATTTTTGAGCTCTGCCCTGCCCCATGCTGGATTCTGTGCATGAAATTAATTCTCTTGCCTTCTGTGAGTGTGGAAAAACTCAAACTGTCTTTCCTTTGTTCACATTATTACAACAATCAGCAAAGAAGACTCCTGTGACCAAATGTGTGGGGATTTCTCCCTACCACCGAGCAAGCAATCAATCCTGCAGTGGACAACAGCTGGGTGTCCTCCAATTCAACTCCGACACTATCTACATGGTGCAGCATCAAATTTCACAGGTTAAGGGCTCAGTCCTCAAGACTATTCCCCACTTCCAATGACAACTGCAAGCCATAGGTTATTTTGCTCATGCTTCTGACCAGCAACTATAATCTAGGGTTCCCACAACTCCTTTTCTCAATTAATTTGCTAGAATGGTTTACAGAACTCAGGGAAACACTTCTGCTTACTGGTTTGTTACAAAGGATACACATCCATGTGTTCAGTTATCTGGAAGCTCTGAACTCAGTTCTTTTAGATTTTATGGAAGCTTCATTACATAGGCATAATTAATTAAACCACTGGCTATTGGTGACCAACTTGACCTTTAGCCTCTGTCAAAAGGTTGTGGGGAGGGGGCCTCAACTTTCTTTCTGGTGACCAGACCCCATCCTGAAGCTACCCTAGGGGCTGCCAACAAAAAGACATCACTTCGGAGATTCCAAGGATTTTAGAAGTTATATGCCAAGAAACAGGCAACACCAGATATATATTTTACATTATCACACTCCAATTTTCACTTAGCAGTCTTCTACTCATCTTTCAAGACTGCTCAAATATCATTGCTTATGTAAAGACTGCCTAATAATTCTCTCCTCTAACAACATTGGTGTAGCCTTTCTAGGTGATGACAGTACTTTTTTTTTTTTTTTACATGATTACAATATGTGTATATACATACGCTTTGTTTTGTTTTTTTAAATCATAATTGTAGCCTGGGCATGGTGGCTCACACCTGTAATCTCCACACTTTAAAAAGCTGAGGTGGGGGTATTGATTGAACCCAGGAGTTCAAGACCAGCCTGGGCAACACAGCAAAACCCCACCTCAAAAAAGAAATAAAATTAAGTTAAAAAAAAAGCCCAAAATTATAATCGTATATAACCATGGTGTACTAAGTGATATTATATTATAGCATTTTTCAAATTGCACTTGATTATCTGTTTGCATGTTCATCCATCTGTAAACAGACTATTCTTAGAGTATAGCAAGGAATCCATTTTACTGAACGCTCTGTATTCTCAGCACCTAACACTGTCCCTGGCGTAGAGTAGGTGTTTAATAAATATTTGAAGTAAAAAAAAAAAGGACAGATGGAGATAATGTGTTATTCAATGCTATATTATTGAGAGACCTTAATATTAGAAGAATTGGTCTTTATTTTTGCCAGGCTAGCAAAGAGTCACAGACAATACATGCAGAATTATTTTTTAGAAAATTTAACCTGGCAGCAACATAAGGAGAGGCACAAATTGGGAGAGCCCTGGGATATTTCAGGTGAAATGCAACACAGGGACTTAAAAGGGGATGGTGAAGGGAAATTAGAAAGGTGATGATAAACTGTATGCAGTGGCTCACTCCTGTAATCCCTGCACTTTGGGAGGCTGGGGCAAGAGGACTGCCTGAGCTCACAGGTTCGAGACCCAGCCTAGGCAACATGGTGAGACCTTGTCTCTACAATAAGTCAAAAAAATTAGCTGGGCATGGTAGCGCATGCCTGTAGTTCCAGCTACTTGGAAGGTCGAGGCTGTGGTGGTTGTGAGCGTACCACTGCACTCCAGCCTGGGCGACAGAGTGAGACTCCAACTCAAAAAAAAAAAAAAAAGGAGATGATGGAAACATTCATGATACAGTACAGGGGCAAAACTGATAGGAACTGATCTATGACTGAGGGAAGGAAGCACATCATGAGGAATCAGATGCAACCCTGAGATTTTATGCCTGAGTGACAAAGAGGTCCATTAGTAAAAGAGGAAACACTGGGAGCGAAGCTCCTGGCAAATTAAGTGGTAGATACAGCAAGTCCTCTACATACAAATGAATTCCATTCCAGGAGAGGGTTCATAAGTCCAATTTACCACAAGCCCAAAAGTTTGCCTAGGTACCTAACTAACACAATCATCTCTATAGTACCGTACAGTAATGGGGTTATAATACTTATCATACAAATAATACTAAAAAACAAAGAAAACATTTTAAAACTTACAATACAGTATTTTAAAAATTACAGTAGACAGTACAATACAACAACTGGCATACAGGGCTGGCACTGAGTGAACAGGTAAGAAGAGGAGGTGGGAGATGGTAGACCTGAAGCAATAGGAGATAGAGGGCAAGGTGGATGTGACTGGATATGCAATCATACATTTCAAAATCCTCAACTTGAAGGCTTGTATTCAGGGGACTTATTGTAATGTGAAGACTGAGATGTTAACAAATCGAGCCATCCTGCAAACAGTTGTAAATATGGGTCTGAAGCTTAGAGAAAATGCCACAACTGAGATATAAAGTTGAGAGAGATTATTTTATAAATAATCACTAAAATCATGAGACTAGGAAAGACAAAGAAAAAAACAGGAGAATTTCAAAGATAGAAGTTTAGGGAAGGTCATTATTACTTAAGAGTAGGGTGAAACTAATTAAATAAGTAGAATTGCAAGAGCACAGGGTCAGGGAAACCAAGAAAATTTCAAGAAAAAAATGACAAGTATCACAGCAATCAAAGACTATGAAGAGCTCTAATAAAAGTAGAAAGTAACAGTATATTTCAGAAGAGCCAATCCAGCAGTTTGGCAGGGACAAAAAGAGAATGAGTAAATGCTGCAAGCAGAAGCAGTAAGCAAAGCCTATCATTTCCAGAAGTCAAAGTGCAACTGCTTCACAAAACTGTATGTCCGATGTATTTGTTTAAATGTAGATCACTGAAGGATTCAAGCCCAATCTTTAAGATCCCTAAATAGATTTTAAAACAATGAGCCTAATTTTCCTGTACATATCGTCTTGGAATGCTTCTTTTCTCCTATTTCTGGCATGACTGTAGCTCCTGCTTCTTTAAATGCTATCTCCAAAGATATATTATTCTAACATGTTAAAAAATTTTATCCTAAATTCTGAAATGTGTGAAAATCTCAGAATAATGTAAACATTCATTTTTTAATATAATCTTCCATTCTGAACTTGGCTTTGCAATCTTAGAGGGAAGAAATAAATATATACACCACTTAATGCTTATTTTCTACAAGCAGAGTGAAGAAAGTGATATTAGTAAAAAAATAAATTCTTTTCACTCCTGCAGAGGTTCAACACTTATAAGAAAATATATACAATAATACATATCCAAAAATATATATATAATTCTAATATTCAGATATGTAGAATTACATATGAACTCAAAAGGAAGGTCAATAAAGAAACTAAAGATGCTAATATAAAGTCGTTTTATTAAAAAAACTAAGCTCAAATAAGACTGCAGTGGTGATACCAAAGGACTATTTTCAATTGTTAAGAAATGAGAATTTTCATATTATTCTAATTATTTTCTTTAAAGTTTTTTACTTACCTCAGAGATGTGGCTAGATAAAACTGTACTTCCAATTTTCTCCAAACAGCTTTGACCTATGCTTCCATCTCATGAATTCCAAGACAGTATTAAACTGATGCATATTTTCATAAATCTGTTTAGAAAAAAAAGAACTTATTTAAAACTGAAAAAACTTTTATTTGTTAGAAAACCACATGCAGAAGCAATCTAAAAGTGTTTCATTTCAAAGTAAAGTCAATGAAAAGTTCTACAGTTTTGTTTTTTTTTAAATGAAACCTATTACTTTACCATTTACTTCAACCTCTGCCCAAACAAGTTTGTAAAATTCCGTGGAAAAAGTACTTACATAGAACATTTCTGTGTTAGCTTAAACATTTGAGGAAAATAAAAAAAGAAACTCATTTTCAATTTGAAAAAACAGGAACAGCTGGAGCAGTCTTAAAATGTACACTCCTATAATATTCAGATTCCTACTTAGGCAAAATAATATTGGACTGCCTAACTAGTATCTCTTTCTTTGACTTTTTATCCTAAGGTCTCAAAACTAGTTTTAACTTCAGTCAAACGTCTATCTAGAATGTTAGGACTGTGAGGGTGAAGAATTAACTACACTGGTTGGCCTAAATCCATGAGATGGGCTTAAACTACTGTATGTTAATATTGCCATTAATACCCTACCAATTTGAGAGGAACCACTCATAAATCTAAAAGAAATAAACCATTAAAAAATTTTATTTATTTGAAAGACATCTGTGTTGTTTACTTAGAGCTCTTAAAAATAACTTCACTGAATGTATCTTTTAGCCGATACTTCAAAAAGCCAAGTATTATGTTTCGTATTGTTAAAGCTGTATGAGCATTACCTATGTCCCACTGCAAGGTCAAATGCTTTGTCTTTAAGTCCATTTAGAAGTATCATTTGTGTCAGGCTGAGATTTAACAGTCTTGGCAATAATGATTAAACTCATGTAAACTGGGGCAACCCGAACCGGTCTAGTATATCAGATAGCCATCTTTCTTAAAGACAAGAGTCTCCACTCAGCAGACAGGCTGCCATAGGACCATGCTAAATCTTTCATGGCCCAACTAAAGACAGTCTGACCTGAAAGCAATTAGTAATGCTTTGTCTACATTTAGGAGCCTTGAACAGTCTTCTCAGTATACTAGTTACCCACAACTTAACCCGGTCCCTAATATTTTTTCAGACTCCTCATGAGTATAAAACTCTCAGACTGTTACTCAGAGAAATGAGAGGGCAGGAATGGAGATTTGATGTTTAATATTTTTCTGTGATGTTCATAACCTTAAAGAATTTCCCTTGTACTACTCAAAAGAGAAATGCATGGCATTTCCATTTCATATAGATTTTCCTCCAAAGCCAACAACTCAATTCTTCTCCAAGGGTGTGTGTAGGATAGAGAGGAGGCAATTACTGTATTAAATAGAGCTCAAAACAACCTATTCCCCTAAAAGTAAAAACAGTCCATCAGTGTTTAAAAATATATGGCCTGATTCTAATTCTATCAGATATTTCCAATGGATCAAATAATAAATAATATTAACATGCAAACCATTTACCAACCAACCATTGTTTATCACAGCATTTTTTATTACAACAGTGTTTCCTTGTTAAAAAAAAAAAATCTTCAGCTTTAGGCTACATCTTAACATTTTAAAAATGGAGAATACATAATCAAGAGAAATTTCAAATATCCCATCTTCAAAGTCCAAGACCCCAGATTATCTATTTTCCCTCTATTTCTTGCATTTACAAACAGTTACCAAGATACAAATTTTAGAAAACCTTTTCTGCAGATTGAACTTAAGACTAGCAAGGAAAATCAGGTAAGATTTGACTTCATTACTCAGCTATCAAAAGACAAAGAAAGGGTGTGCTTCACAATACAAGTCTGTAAATCACTTTTACATGCTAGAAATTGTGCGAATAAAGTAAAGGTTAGGATCTTTGCAATATATTGCCACAGTCCCGTAAGCACCAATCCATAAATATGTATATGCATAGAAATAGGATTTCTATAGGCATAATGTACCAAACAACTATAACCATTTAACATACTAAGTAATTTACCACAGGTTAGTGCAATATTTTATTTTCATTTTTTTGAGTTGCAGTCTCACCTTGTCGTCTAGACTGGAATGTAGTGCACTATAAACTTGTGTTCAACAACCACCAGGGATGCTAGTCAAAACCAAACACTAAGTGAATATAGGTAATATTTTCACCAAAGATTTTGAGCCTGAAATTTCCAAGCCTGTTAGTTCTAGAGAAAACATTAAAGAGAAAGTAAGTCTTTTTTTTTTGGCTTATGAGTCTCACTCTGTCACCCAGGCTGGAGTGCAGGGGGCTCCAATCACAGCTCCCTGCAACCTCAACCTCCTGGGGCTCAGGTGATTTTTTTTACCTCAGCCTCCTGAGTCACTGGGACTGCAGATGCATGCCACCATGCCTGGTTAATTTTTTTTTTTTTTTTTAAAGACAAGATCTCCCTTTGTCACCCAGGCTGGAGTGCAGTGGCATGATCACAACTCACCACAGCCTAGACTTCCTGGACTCAAACAATCCTTCTCCATCAGTCTCTCAAGTAGCTGGTTTACAGGCACCTGCCACCAATCCTGGATAATTTTTGTATTTTTTTTTTGTAGAGAGGAAGTCTCACAATGTTGCCTAGAGTGGTCTCAAACTCCTGAGCTCAAGTGATCTTCTTGCCTTCGCACCCCAGAGTGCTGGGAATACAGGTGTGAGCCACTACACCTGGCAGGCAATTCTTCTAAAAATACATCAGAACTTCTTAATGATTTGGAATAAATAAAAATCTAACTTTTTGAAATGTATTCGAACATTTTGTAATTCAGAGCTAACATTAAAGTTTCTTCAACATTATTATTTGCAAACAATGTAAAAAGTTCATTTTAATCCCACACTTCCTTTTTTTTTTTTTTGAGTTGGAGTCTCACTCTGTCGTCCAGACTGGAGTGCAGTGG